AGCCACCGCTGTGACAACTTTCAGAAAGAAATTTATCTCTAACATGAGAAAACTCAGTCCTTGTATGTTCAGAAAAAAAAGATGAATAAATATATACTTTTTAAGAATAAGCAAATTGAAAAAAATGAAACCACTGAAGAGCTGAAAGCTGATTATAACTCCTCAGGTTTCGGGGAGGTGAGAAAAAGAGATAACATATGCCAAGTTTTAGTCTAAAACTATGGGGCACAAACTCCATTATTGTGCAGCAGATAAAGGCAATTCCAATTTCTGATCATGTTATTCAGTGGCTACGTGCTTGACTCTCAAAGAGCAGGTAACAAGGTACTTTTTCTTCACTACCATCCTTGCAGATCAAATTTCATTTCTGAAGTTCAAAATTATTTATTTCTCACAGCTGATTCCTTGAAAAAAACATTTTTTAAAAAATCTGCATTTTTGCATTGGATATTCAGATATATGAGGAATAAAAAGTACTGCACCATTCCTACACAGTAGTATAACTGGTTCTATCTGGGAAAAAAAATTGTGGCATAAGAAACTATCATCTTCCAGAAGAGGAAGTTGCATTATGGCATTTAGACTAAGTAAAAAAATTTCAGTTCAATTCCATCAAAGAATATGCTAAGTTTTTTTCTTCCATATACAAACAGATTTCAGAAAATGCAGAAAGAAATGATGAAACCCTACATTCAATGCTTAGAAATTTTGTGTTTGATTTGTTGCATGCTGAGACTCAAGTACCTCTGTAGTGTTTTCAAATTCTAACACAGTAGGCTGATTTCTCAAAAAGGAGCAGATTTTCCTGTATATTTGTCTCAGACAAACATTAAATGGGAAAAGATTTATTTATTTTTTAGGATAGCATAACTAGTGTCATCCATCTTTCCTACCCCACGTTGTACTGTTGCTACTCTCTGCTTTTAAGAATTTAGTGAAAGGAGCACAGATGATTGAGGGACTGAAGCATCAGGTGTGTGAACACTGATGGGGGCAATGAAAGAATAGGATGAGGATCTTCTCAGTGGTTCCCAGTGAATGGACAAGAGACAATGGGCACAAACTGCAACACAAGAAATTCCATTTAAACATAATAAAAAGTTTTTTGGTGAGGGTGGTCAAACACTGGAATGGGTTGCCCAGAGAGGTTGTGGGGTCTCCATCCTTAGAGATATTCAAAACCCAAATAGACAATGTCCTGGACAGCCTGCTCCAGCTGGCTCTGCTTTCAGCAGTGGGGTCTACACTACGTGATCTCCACAAGTCCCATCCAACTTCAACTATGCTGTGATTCTGTGAGAAACAAACGCATGAATCTCAAGATAACGTAACACAGCAAGTTACAGTAAAGCCAAAAAAATCCATTAAACTGTTTTATGCCAGAAAAACTGAAATGCATTTTTCTGCAAATTAAAGACAGATTGTAAGCCAGAGTACAGGACTGGAAAGTTCCTTGCTCATCAAATTAAAAACAAGAGGCCTATTCATGAAAAAAGTTATGTGGTCAAGTCACATTCTTTGCTCAAAAGTTTGACATGCGTCTGAGGGCGGGCACTCTGCTCGCACTTCACTGAGGAACTTCCAGGTTGCTTGGGATTGCTGCAGCACAGGAAGGCACCTCGTAGAGACAGGCACTCAGCAGAAGTACAAGAGGACAAGCAAATGTCCCTTTTCCTTTTAAAAGGGCTGGTCACATGACTAACAGCTGGAGTCACTTAACAAAATACCAGTGCAAGCTGTTTTGTTGAATTCCCCTACAGTTACATGACAACATGTAAAACCCTCCTGCATTTCAAATACCCAAAGGCCTCCTGGCTCAAAATCCCCCTTCTTTCCGGTCCATCTTTCAGATTTCTTCTCCCTCTACAAAGCCATGTTTTTTAACAAAGTGCCTTCTCTCTCCTCCTTGAAAAATTCTGCACTAATGAGAGACTCATGTCCCCAGAAATGAAAGCTGTTTAGCACTGAGACTGGCTGGCTGTCTAAAATTGATGCCTGAATTAGTACACATCACAGCTGTTAGTGAAATCTATATTTTAGCACAGAATCATGCCCAAATTCAAACAATTTAAACACCAGCATGGGTTTTTTTCTACAAATGGAGGATTAACAATCCCGTTAATCTCAAAATCAACAAAAACTACAAAGAAATTGGGTGTCACAGAGTCGATATCCCCCATTTTCATTTGCCATGCCTAGGATACTCACCCTGCACAGCCAGGAAGAGAAACTGGATAAAAATTTTCTAGAGTCTGATGAACAACAAAAAACAGAAAACCGCTTGGTGGGAAATCAAAGAACAAAATAAAGCTGATCTGATCTTCCTGTAGGGTATTCCCAAAATGCAATTTAATTCCTGAAATATTCTGTCATCTTTGCATTTCTCAGCAATACATGCACAACATGTTTTTAAGAGCAGGCCTTACAAGCCAACCCTCTCAGACCAACACTACAAAGCTGTATGTGCCATTGTAATTAACACACTAGTCACACAATGCCCAGAGTAAGTTATTGTGATCTGCAGCAGATCAGAACATTTCCTGCTTCCATGGCTTTCTCATTGTTCCTGTTTGGTTTAAAGCTGCAGTAGATAAGCAGACCTATTTGTATACATATACTTGCTTATTACTCAAAGTGAATCAAGACTTTATAGACAGATTTTGGGGTGGGGAGGAGAGCCAGGTTAAGAAGATGACTTGCAGCCACAGATTTTCATAACCTAGGATTTTGTAAGACTCCCTTTCACAAGTGGATTAACTGCAGTGGGAGCAGACACTGATGAGAGGAGCTCACCTGGGGACAGAGGACACCAGTGTCCCAGCAGAGAGAGGGGAGACAAGGTCATTGACTGCACAGGAACATTGCCCAGATCCTGCAGTATCCAAAGGAAGTTAAAAAAAAACAACAAACAACAACCCACCGTCGGAGAACTGGGCTGTAGGGAGGAGGATGTGGGATTGGAACTCAAATTAACTCAAAAGTCCAACTGGAAATATAAGCTGCATGAAAATTAATATATGTTGTATGAAAATATAAGCTGTATAAAATTCAAAGTTAAAGACAATTGTGTTTGAAAGAAAGGACAGACACTTTCTACAACTGTCTCATTTGTTTTATTTCACAGTATTTTTTGTTTTGCATTTGTTTGCCATCTTCTGAAGGAAGGATCAGCTAAATGCATTGGCTTGGCTCTGAATTTAACACTCAGGCCTTTCAGAATATCAGATATACCCGTTAAGCTCCCTCTTCTGGCTAATTAATAAAATGCCTAGATTTTGTATGCATAAGTTTCAATTTTTCCAGTCATGTCCTGTCAGTAAAAATAAAATAATTACATTTTAAAAATCAATAATGAAGCTTTGATATTGAAATACACAACGTAAGTGTTCAACTGTAGACAGTGGCCTTCTCTTGCCTCACACAGACAAGCTGCACACCCAGAAAGACCCCAAGCCAGTGTCAGTGGGGATGACACTGCCAGCCCAGCATGGCCAACAGCTCACCCCTCCAGCCCACAAACCACCGCATGCTTTCGGGTATCTGATACCTACCCCCACCTGCAACTCCTGTGTTCAAAACATATCAGGACAGTTTACTGGTCCCTGAAGTACATCCTTCCTTGCTCTAGCTAGAATTAGAATTCATTGTGCAATAAAAACACAAATAACACATTTTAGAAAACGTGTTGAAAATTAGGAAAACATACCACACAAAAATGGGAAGAGGGACCAAAAAATACCCAGTAGCTAGGACAGTGTCTAACTTTGCTGCATCTGACCCAAAGTTGTTTTCCAGTTCAATCAAAAAACTAATTTATATTCGTGTCCTTCAACTAAACAAAAAATAAGCAAAGACTTCTGTGTCCTTTTTCATAAAGGAAGGAGAGTTACTCAAGAGCTCCAGCTACTGCAAGCACCAAAACCCCCCTGCTGCACTGCCATTTTCTGCCGCCGTTCCAAGGCAAGGCCTAAAAAATGTGTAAAATACAGCTCAGTCTACAGACACCGAATTCATCATCCCCTCAATGCAGACAAACAGCCACCTCGTTGTGGTAAAATAATGACAAGTAATTAGCGTTTACCTTACACACTGGACCGAGGTTAATCACACCAGCTCAGCTGCTATAGCTGGTGTGTTGAAAGCAGAAAGAATTTCACTCTGCTGCTGCTAACAGCTCCAAAAATCACTAAAGCTTAGCTAATAGGTGTGGCTTTCACAGTTATTAGGCTTGCACCTTTGACTGGACATTCCAACGAGCTTTCCAGATACGGATCCCTTTCTTTGCCCTTGCTGTTATTTTATGGAAACAGAATTAACATAAAATATCACCAACAGACTTCAGTATTTCAATTTCATTCATGCTAGAATATTTTACTTTAAATTGTCTTTTAAGTTACACTGTTAAATAACTGCAAATGTGGAGACTATTTATTCTAGCAGAAAAACTGTTCTGTCACCAACAATAGGAATTTTAAGCCTGATCTCCTAGCCTTTTATCACTGAAGTGGTTCTCACTGGCATAGATGTACAACAATGTTGTCCTCACAGAACATGCTGCTAAGAAGTATCATGGCATTTTCAGGAATAAAAGGTGAACTTTCTAATGACATTCAGAGGAGAAAACATACAAAAAAACCCCTAAAAATAAGACAGAATTGGAATTTAATATTAAGACTGATACTTCCACTAACTTTGGTTCCCAGCAGGCCATTACTTGTCATAAATATATGAAAGAAAGAAAATATTTATTATTTGGATGTTGAAGACAAAAAGCTGATTTCTTTATTAACATATTTGGAGAACCATAGAAACTGGGAAAAACTGGACATTCACCAGGAACAATAAAGGGTGTGTGAAGAGAAACGAACAAATCCACAACAGATGAAAAACGACAGGGAGGGCTGAAGGCTTGAAAAGAAACATCTAATAGAGAACTGCTCCTGGGATGAGACCCGCACCATCAGATTCAGCAACTGAAGCAGACAAATGCACTTTCTTACCTTGGGCCACTTGGGATTCAGGAGTCGTGCTTTGATGGCATCGTCCAGGGCCTTGTCATACTGCTGGATTTTCACGTAGGCTGCAGAGCGGTTGCTGTAGAGGATGCAGTTCTGAGGATCCACGCCCAGAGCCTCGTTGTACAGCACGATGGCTGTATGAAAATCACCATCATGGCAAGCCTGGTTGCTCTGGCGAACCTTCTCAACAAATTCAGCTTTGCTCAACATGGGACTGTCTGGACTTCTTCTTCCGATAGATTTGGATCCAAAGAAAGAAATCTGGGGGCAAGGAAGGGAGAGATCACACATTAGTGTTAAGAAATGCTGTTCAAAATAGAAAAAAAAAAATCTAAATATTTCAAATGTATAGCAGAAATTAAAGCCACCAGCACTACTGCAGAACAAATTATTAATTCAGAATCAGATTCTCAGAAAAGTAATTTTTTAACTCTTTTGAGGGGTACAGAAGTAAGAGCAAAGAGCCTTATAAAACATCATTCCCTATGAAGGATGTCTTCTAGAAGACATATTGTCTTCTTCCAGCAAAAGCCTTGCTGTAGTCTGTTTTAGTGTGCTACATGCCACATATTAACAAGTTTTTCCTCCTCAGCCCTTGTATTTGATTCTACAACACGAAGCATAGTGGCCAGGTAAGGAAGTTTATCTGAACAGGTGGCAGGTGTGAATGTGAAGATGATGCTGGCATATCCACAGTTTGAGACACAGGCCACATGGAAGCATGTGCATGCACAGACAACCCAAGGGTGCACAAATTATCTTAAATCCAAACAACCTGTACTGGTACATCTGCTCACAAATCTCCATATCCAGCCACCTGCAGGCTGCAAATCGCTGGTAAATGGGAAGGATGAGCCTTTGGAACTGGGGATACCCACAGAAATTAGTGGGACACATGATTTATTTTAGCAACAGAACAGTCATCATTGGCAGAGACACCTTCCCTGATTGTCGACTTCAGGCAATGCACAATAACAAAGAAAAACTTTTAAGCCATTTAATTATAAAGATTATCATTTAAGGTGAGCTGCAAAAAGTCCTTTCCACAGACTCTGGTACACCCTTTCTCTTCTTTTATCTTTCTACACTCCCTATATTCCTCAGGCAGTCACTTGCAGTCAGTAACTGTTTTTGTCACGTGTGAGGTCTTTGTCTCTTCCAAGGACCCTCAGAAACTCAGCAAGAATATCTGTGTGCAACTCTGGTTACAAGATCATTGTGAATTCTGCAGCAATTGTACTTGGCAAAAGGCAACATACCAAGTGCAGTATGCACTGAAGGGTTAGACTGCTGCAATTGAGGTTGGTGACATCCATTTTTAGTCCTGCAGACCAAAAAAGTTTAAGAATACCACATATTGTTACCACAGCACAACTGCAGGGCTTAAATATATTACCAGTGCAAGCTGAGGCATATTTTTAGGTGAAAAGGGAAGTAAGCTGCAAATTGACATCCTGTCTCCACCATCAAAATGGTCTATAGACTTTTTTTTCCCGTAAGTCAAACAACAACAATAGAAAAGCATCAAATTAGAAACTACTGATCTCTTCTTTTCCCTATGATTATATCCAATTTTTTCTGACAGGTGTTTGTCCAAACTGTTTCTAAACTTCTCTACTGCAGGAGACTCCATGTTTTACTCAGGCAATCTCATTACAGTGCTTCATTATTTCAATAATTACAGTATTTTTTCTAATATACACCCCAAATCTCCTTTGCATCAGTAAATGTACTGGTTCTTGTCATGTCCACAGCAGACCAGACAAAAAACTTTCTTCCTTTAATTTGCGTAGTTGCCATTTATACAGTACTCCTGCTAAAAGAAGATAATATGTAGCTTGACATTATTATTATAATTCTAATTTCAGCTATGCTATATGTTGCTAAAAATTGTAACAAGAACTATGAATTCCACAGCTAAATGTAAACAGTACTTTTTGTTTAATACATAATTCTAAAAATAAAGGTTATGCAGAACAAATTACCCCCTCACATTTTCACAAGATATTTTAGTTAAGAAACAAAATTCTGATTTCAAGTAAATACTCCAAAACCAAGAAGAACTAAGTTTTACAGAGGTTATTTTTTAAAACTACTGAGGCACTAACCTAATTTTACTGCAAACACACTGCAAAATACTATTTGGATTATGTACATAATGCAGTATTTTCATATATCTAGTGCCAAATGTAATTATTTATAATCATTGAAAATCTGTGAGCAATATGCATCAGAATATTGCAAATTCTTTATTCCCACTTTCCTCAAATTGGTGACCTCAAACCTTTTGTCATTCAGCTGGTCCTAAACCTACCCTTACCCCTTGCAAAGGACATCTTAAAGAGTCCTTGGAGGAATTCTCCTGGAAATTGTCTCTCTGCTCATGGACAGTCAAAGAGACAAGGAGAATGAGAAGTAACTGTGCACATGCAGTACAGTTAAAATGCAGAATTATCCCAGGTGTTACAAATGACAACAGTAATAAGGGATTCAAAAAAGTAATTAAAAACATGAAATAAATTCACAGAAGTGTATTAAGTATGAAATTGAAATTGCACATGCCTCTTGAATGTTCAGTAAGTTCTAACTGAATTCTCAAGTAAAGAGCATTTAATTTTTTTTAAAAAACTCACTCTGAAATAAAGAACCTTCAGAAGTTACTAACGAAGACAAATTCAAGTTTGTGTCTGAGCAAGCTGAAAACCTAAAACACATTCAAAAGTTCAAATTTTGCAGTTCCTTGCTAATCTCACTAGAGAGTGCCCCCCTTAGATCAGGAGCAGTCCCTCAGCATCCACATACAGTGTGTTACTGTCAGAATTCTGAAAGAATGAGAGAAACTGAGTGAAAATATGGGAAAGTGGAAAGTAATGCAAAAATTGAGATGAAGAATGAGAAACTAAAGCAGAAAGGTGCTCATTTTCTCATTAAGAGATAAGTCAGTATGGCACCGACACGCAGAAAATAAATAAAAATTGGCCTCCTAAGCCTCAAGTGTTGTTTGTTCCCACTGCCCTCCAACCCATCTATCATTAATGTAAATGGAAGATCTAGCTAAAGGAAGCACAAAATCACAAATATAGTGATTGTGAATAATTAAATGATACATTAACAATGAGGTATCTGACCTTTTCGTCTGAGCAGTCAGTGAGCCACAGGCAAACAGACACCAACGAGGGACTGACAAGCCAGTAATGCAGCAAAATCCAGGTGTGAACAGGGAAGCCATGCAAAGCAGGCTAGTTTGGACAGCAGGTGCACAGGTTCCCTGAATTTTCTTGTCTGGACAAACCACTCCATTGCTGAAGTCCAACCGGTGCCTTCTCTGAAGGGACGTGTGCGCCAGGAGCGCAGCTCTCGCAGCACCACACAGCAGCTCTCCTGAGCCCTGCAGGGCACCTCACATTCGGTCACTCAGCACCACTTGTCCATCTCCAGTGTCCTGCCCAGTAGGAATGCATGTAACTGGTACCCAGGCCAGGAGGAAAGGATAAGCAACGCACAAGGAAAAGGTTTCAAGCCTCATTCAAGAGGTGGATACAAGGGGTGATACAAGGAAGCAGCCGGAAAACAAGACTTGATGAATACCCAGCAGGAACACACACAGACTGACGCTGTTGCAGCAGTGGATTTCACCTCTTGAAAACAAAGATTTGGATAGCACGAAGAATCAGTAATAACAGGCATTAATGATGTTATTGCTAATAATAACTGCTAGTCTTATATACTAGTATGACCTAGGACTTCAGAAAACCCTATGATTGCAGGTTTATATCAGGCAAACCCCCCCTCCCCAAAAACAGGGAAGATTTCCAATCCTACAGCTTGACAAAAATCTTCCAATATTCAAGCCACACCCACTCATCCGTTTATCAAAAGCTCTTCCAAGAACCGATAAGGGCTTCATTACCACCTGAAGAGCTCTTGTTCAACACCAGAAGAAAGCACAAGAGGGATGACATTGTCTAAGACTGTGCAAACCTCCAAGAAAAATGACAGACATGCAAAAATAAACATGAACAGCTCCAACGAAAGAAGAGGAGGAAAGACAAACAAGCATATAGACAACCCTCCATTTCAACTTTCCATTTGCTGGGGACAACCAGGGACATCCCAATGGCTGCAACATCAAGCGAGAGGCGCACGGGCTGCTGACAGGGATCATACATCTCATCTGTAATCGCCACTCTGGGCTCCAGCGAACAAACACAACTGCACTAATGACATTTGCTGTCATCCAAGACGCACTGATGGAATCCAGTGTGCAGATTCCGAACCCTGTCAGTAACAAAGCTCTTACAAGCGAGTTCCTGACAACTTTTCCAAGGACAGGCATCCCCAGCCGAGGCGCCGTCACCTCCAGCGGGGTCACAGCCCGCAGCGCCGCGCGCGCCTGATGCGCTTGGCGGAAGGAAAACAAAAACAAGTGTCGAGATTTTAAGAAGATAAGCTCAGATGTTGCGTGTCCCGGATCCCAGAAAGGACCCGATCTTCCCGCTGGTGCCCGCTCCGAGGGCTGCAGCAGGGCCGGGAGACGCTCCCGGAGCTGCCCCCGCCCCGCGGCCCCGCCTC